GACTGCGACAGTGGTTACTCCAGTGCGCTCGACCTGGTCACCTCTGGTCAATAAAGTAATTTGTAAAACCCCTTTATTACCCAGGACATCCGAACGTGAAGCTGGTGATAACCCAGGCAGGGCTGCAGACGTCAGAAGAGGCTATAGAATGCGGGCTACCTCTGATCGGGATACCATTCCTGGCTGATCAATGGCTGAACGTGGACAATTACGTTCACCACGGCATGGGGGTGTATCTGAATGCGGAAACCGTTACTGCTGAGGAGTTCAAAGCGGCCATTGTGGAAGTCATAGAGAATGATAAGTTGGTGAATTGTTAAGTTTTGTTTCTTAACTTTAATTACAGAGAGGAACTGTAGCTGAGATTTATATGTATTTACGTTATTAATACGTGAAGCAAAACCTTTGTACCCCTTTTTACGAAAATTGCGCGGACGGAGGAGTATGAAATTTCTCACACTTATAGAGAATACAGAGTAGGGCACTCCTACTACTAATACTAATATTTTTATAAATTATCCATAAAAAAATCCTTAATGCAATAAAGAAAACATTACACACACTACCATGTATTTGAAGTCGTCGTGGCCTAAGGGATAAGACGTCCGGTGCATTCGTGTTGAGCGATGCACCCGGTGTTCGAATCTCAGGCGGGTACCAATTTTTCTAATGGAATACGTACTCAACAAATGTACACGATTGATTTCCACGGTGAAGGAATAACATCGTGTATTAAAAATCAAAACCTGCAAAAATTATAATTTGCATAATTACTGGTGGTAGGACCTCTTGTGAGTCCGCGCGGGTGGGTACCACCACCCTGCCTATTTCTGCCGTGAAGCGTTTCGATTTGAAGGGTGGGGCAGCCGTTGTAACTTACTTGAGACCTTAGAACTTATATCTCAAGGTGGGTGACGCATTTACGTTGTGGATGTCTATGGGCTCCAGTAACCACTTAACACCAGGTGGGCTGTGAGCTCGTCCACACATCTAAGCAATAAAAATAAAAAAAATTACACACACGCATATGTATACACACTCTTTTCTTTAATCTTACACTCTGTGGTCAAATTGAGAATAGATTAATATTGTTTATCTTTAATATTATTTGTCTAAAGTGTAGTCTTGGCGCAATCTATGACTATAGAAGTATAATTAATATCTAGCCTTTGACAATAGAACCATAATAGTTACAAACTTATAATTTCAATTAATTATAGTCGAATTTCGACCACCGGGGGACCACTAGTGCTAATAAAATACATCTAAATTAGTGGACCCGATGTGTCTGATACTAAACCAGCAGCCTGTACAGTCTGAGTGTGAATGTGATACTCCAGGTACCGGAGTAGCGTATTGAGATTCCGTGGCCTGGTGAGCGACGTCCGGCTGTCCCCGGCGCAGCGCGTGGCCTGGTGGACGGAGCGCCTGCTGCGGCCCGGGGGCGCCACCCACATGCGCGCGCCGGCCGCCGACATGCGCCTCCTGGACTATCTGAACCACGAGCTGCTTCTCCTCGTCATCTGCTGCTGTGTGTGCGTCAGCAGCCTCATCGCTTGGACCGCTGTGCTTATTCTGAAGTCACTTCTTAAGGGTTTCGGAATTAAAATTTGAAATAATTCGAGTTTTTATTAATTCCTGCTGCAGTTGTTGGCATAATGATAATGTTTGTAGTTGTCGTGGCCTAAAGGATAAGACGTCCGGTGCATTCGTATATAGCGATGCAACGGTGTTCGAATCCCGCAGGCGGGTACCAATTTTTCTAATGAAATACGTACTTAACAAATGTTCACGATTGACTTCCACGGTGAAGGAATAACATCGTGTAATAAAAATCAAACCCGCAAAACCTGGTGGTATGATGTCTTGTGAGTCCGCACGGGTAGATATCACCACCCTGCCTATTTCTGTGGTGAAGCAGTAATGCGTTTCGGTTTGAAGGGCGAGGCAGCCGTTGTAACTATACTGAGACCTTAGAACTTATATCTCAAGATGGGTGGCGCATTTACACTTAACAACCAGGTGGGCTGTGAGCTCGTCCACACATCTAAGCAATAAAAAAAATAAAAAAAGAATTTACGGCCAGGCTCAAGCGTAAGGCTTCCGGAGTCCATTCATATTACTGTTTTAATTGTGTTTGGGTTAGAGTGGCTACCCAGAAGGGCTCATAAATGCACAATCGCTGCGAAATATCGATAAAAAATCGATTTTTGTATTAAGCTTAATATGTAACCTAATGTTTTTAAGAATTATTAGATAAACGAGAAAACGGTGTCAACTGGTTTACTGGTGGTAGGACCTCTTGTGAGTCCGCACGAGTAGGTACCACCGCCCTGTCTATTTCTGTCGTGAAGCAGTAATGTGTTTCGGTTTGAAGGGTAGGGCAGCCGTTGTAACTATACTTGAGACATTAGAACTTATATCTCAAGCTGGGTGGCGCATTTACGTTGTAGATGTCTATGGGCTCCAGTAACCACTTAACCCCAGGTAGGCTGTAAGATCGTCCACCCATCTAAGCAATTAAAAAAAAAATACACACAGACAAACAAATATATAAACTGTCACACAAAGAAACGTCAATGTCATTACGATACAAGGGAGTATTGACTGCGTCACCGGCGCGTAATCAAACAGAGATAGGCAACATTTCAAATACTGCCAACTTTAAATAATCGATTGGTTGAAACGGAAATTAGCACGTATTTTCAACATAAGATGTTGTATGTGTTTACCAATGCGGGTACCAATTTTTCTAATGAAATACGTACTTAACAAATGTTCACGATTGATTTCCACGGTGAAGGAATAACATCGTGCAATAAAAATCAAATCCACATAATTATAATTTGAGCAATTACTGGTGGGACCTCTTGTGGGTCCGCACAGATAAGTAAGGCAAGTATTTTAAGGTCTCAGTATAGTTACAACGGCTGCCCCGCCCTTCAAATCGAAACGCATTAAGGCTTCATGGCAGAAATAATTGGGTGGTGGTACCTACCCGTGAGGACACCGTGTGTGGACTACCCGTGTGTGGAAAGCGTGTTAATAATTGTAAATAGACATGCTTTAACAAAAACGGACTTCAAATAGAAAAAAAATAATTCCAAAACAAATTAATATACACTAAAAACAATAATCATCGAAATCGGTTGGCGTGACATTGAGTTATTCATCTATTTGTCGCACACGTACTTAATGCAAATTAAGACATATGGTTTTCTCATGGATACCATTATCAGAACTGGACCATATTGAAACGGGACCACAAGGGAAGCGTCAGCATTGTAATAAAAAAAGAATCATAAAAATCGATTCACCCAGTCAAAAGCTATGAGGTACCTAACAAAACTTTAAACAAAATTAACATACAGTCGAATTGAGAACTTCCTCCTTTTTTGAAGTCGGTTAAAAATTAAATACCTAATCATCGACTGTTTTGTAAAATTGTTGGTCACCCCTGAAGCAGCTGCGGGGACAGATGCGCGCGACCGTTACAGCACGTGCGACCCCTACTTACTATTATTATTAATAACACCGGTGGAACACTCGACTTGAATTTTAACGTTATAAAGTAATTAATTTTTTTTATCGAAAATTCGTCAAGCGGCAGCTTTTTTTTTATTGCTTAGATGAGTGGACGAGCTCACAGCCCACCTGGTGTTAAGTGGTTACTGGAGCCCATGGACATCTACAACGTAAATGCGCCACCCAGCTTGAGATACAAGTTCTAAGGTCTCAGTATAGTTACAACGGCTTCACGGCAGAAATAGGCAGGGTGGTGGTACCTTCCCGCGTGGGCTCACAAGAGGTCCTACCACCAGTAAATATGAAAATAATGAAAGAATTCCGTTGGCCTGGAGGCTTTTCAAGTTTTACCAGGACAGGTGGGTGGCACGGCCTCAGCCAGGAGGGAAGGGATTTGCTAACAGCAGTCCGAGGGTCTGCGGAGAAGACCTAATAACTCAAGGGTAGCTGCTTCGCGAATGTTGCTACCATCGGATCGGAATCGCGATCCGCTGAGAAGATCCGCCAAGAACTCAACGGGTTCGTACAGTTTGTGTACTAGGCAACAGTCTATAGGTAAATTCGGAAGACCATAGAGAAAATTTTGATCTATCAATACAGTCCAAACCTATGAATAAATAAACAAAAAAATATATCTATAATTTACATACAAATCTATATTTTCTATGTACCGACATCTAGAATCTAATGCTTTATTAGTAGTCGAGCTTAATAATAATACTATAAAACTTCGCTTTCCATCAAATAAAACGGGACCCCGTAATCACCCCATATAAGATCGCCCTTTTGTTCATTCAATAATTGCACAACAAAAGCGACGGAACTAAAACGAACTATCTTACAGATTTCATTCACGAAATTCTCTAACTTATGTTGGAGTACTATAGAGTCATAGTTGTATATCAAACTTTCTTGTTTTCCTGGAAAAATATTATTCTATAGACAGACTATGAGCAGGGAAAAATGGACTGTAATGTAATGAACTACGGATGGTATTAGTATGTATGTTTTTTTGTTGGAATTCATAGCGCGTGCCGCTTCGCAGGGGTGCGCGAGAGTCGTTTGTCGTTTCCCGGCTTTTTTTAAATTTTGAAATTCAAATTCCCCTTCAGTCGCCGGTTGAATTCGGAAACGACAGGATGTGTATTTTGATTCTATATTGAAAAAAATTAAAAAGTACATTTCGTAATAAACAATGTGAATAATTTGTTTGTGTTTAAACAGTCAAGTGTATTTAAGAGAAAAATAAAACAGTTACGAAATTAGTGCGCCATTAGGGTCGATGACCTCATTTTAAAAAAGTATTTTAAGTTATTTGTTTTCTTGTTAACATGACGATGTGCAAACAGTTCTTCAGAAAGGTTTTTTGTTGCTACTAAGAGACGTTCACCGTTCCAGCCTAAGAAGCACCCTTCGAGGAAAGCGAAGCGGAATCACGCTTCAGGAAACACGAAGGCGGGAAAGATCACACAAAAATGGACTCGCCTAAAATCGTATACAAATATTATTCGAACCCAGCGTTCTGTTCACAGAGCGAAGTGGTCTTTCAGAAGGCATGCGTTACCAAAATAGTGGCACCCGACAGACCACGAATGCCTCCGCTGGGAGGTAATTCGCCGAGGAAGATCGAAGTCTGCAACCGTATAGTCAGAACGGATATTTCAGACAACCCAATAAGGATGTCTCCGGCAGGTCGTAACAGAGACGAGCCCCCGGAATTGCCGCCGAAACCGCTCAAATACCAGCCCAGGTTCCAGAGACAGGCGTCCCTGGTCCACAAGCCGACGAGACGCGTCCGATGCAGAACTCGAAGCGAAGACCTAGAAATGGCGCAATTCAAACAGGAAAGGAATTCAAAGCTTAATATCACGATCCACAATGACGGCGTCGACACGCTTAAGGATCGTTACGAAATTATACGCGATATGGATGATTTTGATTATTCGCCGACAAAGAAACGTATAGTTGAAGCAGATCCCAGTGAAATCGAGGAATACAACGTGGACGGACCCGATGAGAACGAATTGAAGGAGATACCTACGGAAATTGTGAAAACGGTCAATGGCAGAACGCATAGATACGCGATCGTGCCCACAGATGACGTCGAGCCGGTCAGAAAGAACGCGGTGACATTCAGTTCTCCTGTCATGTCGCAACAGAACCTGATAGCCACGCAGAAACTTCACGAATTATTGTCGACTCCGCGGAAATTGAGAAGCTATCCCTCACAGCCGTCTGTGAGGATAACACCTAATAAAAACCAAGCGAGCCCCATTAAGTACGGCACGCCTCAAAGAATGGTATCCAGCACTCCGACCGACGGAGTGGCTCGATCCAGATCGTGCGCCAACCTCACTCTCTCACGGAACACATCGCCTATTTCGCCTAAAGCCCAACAGAAGTTGAGTTATGGAATTGGAGACGATGCGGACAGGCCGGACGTGTTTGTGACTAGCATCCGAGAGAAGAGCAGGGACAGTTTTGAAAGAGACTTAAGCAGAGAGAGCAGAAGGGAGAGGAGAAGAGACAAGAATACGGCTGTTATCGTACCAAGGTTAGTATTTTTGAATGTCTACACCCGGCCTGTTGGATTTTTTTTGTCCTTCCTATGCTGATAGCCTTGAGAAGGTATTTCAGCTTCGCCCTAACATGTGGGTGAGCTCACGGGGCTCAAACCGGAGTGTTGCTAACACTGGCCCTAGCAAGAGCAGTGCTTCGTAGAATCTACCGCCGGATCGGAAACGCGATCCACTGAGAAGATCCGGCGAGAAACTCAGTGGGCTGTGTCTATGGGTTAGTTCGCTCGTCGGGCCCTTCGTCGCAAGCGACGGGTTCGACGAGGACGGTGACCGGTGCTTGAGGTACCTAAAAGCACCGTTAATGGATCGGGAGGATCCGTAATGACGTGTTTAGGGCGACGTCGATTCCCGTCGGTGTTACACTTAAGAACTATCAGATAACTACATATATCGTTTTGATTTTTATTACGATTGGCATAGAATTGTTAGTATTGTGTTAATTTTTTTGTCGATGATAACTAGAGTAAAAAACTTTGAGGAGTAACGCTGTTCTAAAAAAGATGCTCGTCGCGATGTATTGAAAGCACGTTCGTCTTGTGATATCTTTTATAATTAACTAGCTGACCCGGCAGACTTCGTAGTGCCTCAATCGATAAATAAAAGACCTAAACTTTTGTATAAAATAAACTTAAAACAAACAAAAGAAATCCGTCCGACGACGGGGGACACATCAAAGGAAAAACGAAATTGTTATTTTTATTTAATTCCGAGCATTTTCATATTTATCTATCCTTTTAAACCTTCTCTGGACTTCTACAAATAATTCAAGACCAAAATTAGTCAAATCGGTCCAGCCGTTCTCGAGTTTTAGCGAGACTAATGAAAAGCAATTCATTTTTATATAGATAGATAGATAGGTTATTATAATGGTGTGCTCACCTATCTACATTGTGCATGAATGTTCAGGAGTAACATCAGATATGTTAGCCACACATGAGCACACCGTGATAATTAGAAAGGGAGTTGGAAGTGGTCGCCATGGCCGAAATCGGTTAAGAGTTTTAAAAAAAATCTAGTATTTACTTCGGTATTCGCGATTCGTATTCTTATTAAAAAGTAATTAATACGCTTTTATATTAGCTTCAGACGTATGTATGTTTGTAACGGAATCTTTGAACATGATTTTGACCCCCTTCAAAACGTCGGATCAACTCGAAATTTGGTATACTTATTAAGGACCGATGACAATTCAATATTAGAAAAAAAATATGAAAAAATTGAAATTCAACAAAAAAAAAAGCTAACAAAATACGCTTTTATAGAAAATCCAACTAAAAAACAGAAAACAAATTTTAATAAATTTTAATTAAAAAAAAAGCGTCGGTTGCATGGTATCATCAGTAGTTATAAATATTTTATGAGCAGATATGAGTAGAAGGGTTATTTTGATAATATCCTGAAAAGCACTCCATACTTTTTTACAATAAAATCATTTTTTCTTACACTATTTTTAATTGAAATTTATTAAAATTTATTATCTATTCTTTAGTTGGATTTTCTATAAAAGCGTATTATGTTAGTTTTTTTTTAAACTTTATTTATTTTACGGCTTAATCTCGCTTTTGTTTCCGACGTTTATTTATTACAGTTTTGGCACAGAAGAGATGGCCTTTAGCGATAAAGCCTATTGCACAAATTATACCTACCTCATTTTCAATGTTAATTATCTTTTCTTTGTCTCTCTGCTGGGAGAGATTATCCCATCATCTCGTTTTTACTATCTAACCGCCCGCTATCGGAGTAGAGTTCATCCACATTAACTGGAGCCACTGCGTTCATCCACAATGCGCTTCCAATGGTCTTTTTTTCCACGTAACATCCGGCTTTGTAATGAGCTCCCCTGAACCATGTTTCCCGAGCGCTATGACATGTCCTTCTTCGAACGAGACTTGTTGAAAGTATTAAACGGTAGGCAGCGGCTTGGATCTGCCCCTGGAATTGCTCACGTCCATGAGCGACGATAACCAATTACCATCAGGTGGGCCGTATACTCGTCGGTCTACACGTCTGTCTTACTGGTGGTAGGACCTCTTGTGAGTCCACGCGGGAGGGTACCACCACGCTGCCTATTTCTGCCGTGACGCAGTAATGCGTTTCGGTTTGAAGGGCGGGGCAGCCGTTGTAACTATACTTGAGACCTTAGAACTTATATCTCAAGATGGATGGCGCATTTACGTTGTGGATGTCTATGGGCTGCAGTAACCACTTAAAACCAAGTGGGCTGTGAGCTCGTCCAACCATCTAAACAATAAAAAAAATATTAAAATTCAGTATTAAATTGGAAATCTAATTTTTTTAAGTAGATTATAAAGTGTCGTATAACACGATTTAGTGTTGGACCATTGCGATTCTTATTTGTAGTTTTGAAGGTTGGTCATGTTTCTTTTAAGCCGATTTTAAATAAAAGGACGTTCTCAATTTAACGCACTGGTATACCATGTTAATTTATTCGAGCAAGCGTGTGAACCAAAATTTTATTTTAACTAAGTATCTATTACAGAAATATTCATTTGTATTAATTAAATTATTTTTGATTGTTTTATTTCATTAATTTAATTGTGTTTTAATATTTTTATGTGGCGCATTTACGTTGTAGATGTCTGTGGGCTCCAGTAATCACTTAAGACCAGGTGGGCTGTGAGCTTGTCCACCCTTGTAAGCCATAAAAAAGGGCAATAAAATAAAAATAAAAACTTGCCTTTTCTCTCAAGCCAGAGGCTTCGATGACCGTTGACCTAGACTCTTCTCTCTAAGGGCTTAACTGGAGTTTCTCTATATTCCAGAGTGGCACCACCGCCGTCGACAATATCAGAAGACACGTACAAGTCCATATCAAGCTTGAAGACGACTCCGGGCACCGCATCATTGACGATAGCAACGCTGATATTGACCCTCTGCGGAGGACTCAGCACCGGCCTAAGTTTCTATATGATGTATGCTGTGAGTTCATATTTTTGTTTGCTAAACTTTTTTTTTAGGGATTTTTTGACCTGGTAACTGAGACCTTTAGGTCGTGTCTTATTTTAATTTATATTGTTATTTTTATGGAAAATGATAATATGGAGTGAAACGAAGATGGTTAATTTGAGACATTAATCAACTGGGATGAAATGAAATGAGATGATATGGGTTGAAATATAATCTCAGTAAAATGGTGGACCTTTACTGAGACTTTTTCAGTGGACTTTTTGGCGGATCCCGAGAAGTTACGCCCAGCGCCTATGTTTCATTTTCCCGAATTTGTGCACTTTCACAGATACTAAACAGCTAATAAACCACCGTTATTACACATAACGGTCCACCCATCTAAGCAATAAAAAAACAGTGACTCAACTCCAATATTTTTTATTTTTATTTTATTGCTTAGATGTGTGGAGGAGCTCACAGCCCACCTGGTGTTAAGTGGTTACTGGAGCCCATAGACATCTACAACGTAAATGCGCCACACACCTTGAGATATAGTTCTAAGGTCTCAGTATAGTCACAACGGCTGCCACACCCTTCAAACCGAAACGCATTACTGCTTCACGGCAGAAATAGGCGGGGCGGTGGTACCTACCCGTGCGGACTCACAAGAGGTCCTACCACCAGTAATTACGCAAATTATAATTTTGCGGGTTTGATTTTTATTGCACGATGTTATTCCTTCACCGTGGAAGTCAATCGTGAACATTTGTTGAGTACGTATTTCATTACAAAAATTGGTACCCGCCAGCGAGATTCGAACACCGGTGCATCGCTCGATACGAATGCACCGGACGTCTTATCCTTTAGGCCACGACGACTTCAAATACCGTTCAAATAAAATCACGTTCTCACGACTTATAAACGACAATTTACAATCAATCAATTCATGCAATTAATTTTGACAGGTAAAGGACCAGGGTATGCGTCACCATTAGACGCATTTAATAATGGACCGAGGGAAGAACTTCTTTACGTGGTCTGCGTTCGGCCAAACAAAAACAAACAGGACTATCTTGCAACAGTGGACGTTGATTCTAAATCCCCAACATACGGCCAGGTGCGTAGTTTACGTGTTACTAATCACATACGGTATCATTCATCATCATTATATTAGTTCTGACGTTTCAAACGGTTTACGCCTTTCGTGGATCCTGATGTTGAAAATAATCCATTTTAGTTCACGTTTACCGAATACCGTAGATAATACCATGATTTTTACTATTTCTGCTTTTTTTTATTGCTTAGATGGATGGACAAGCTCACAGCCCACCTGGTGTTAAGTGATTACTGGAGCCCATAGACATCTACAACGTAAATGCGCCACCCACCTTGAGATATAAGTTCTAAGGTCTCTCAAGTATAGTTACAACGGCTGCCCCACCCTTCAAACCGAAACGCATTACTGCTTCACGGCAGAAATAGGCGGGGCGGTGGTACCTACCCGTGCGGACTCACAAGAGGTCCTACCACCAGTAATTACGCAAATTATAATTTTGCGGGTTTGATTTTTATTGCACGATGTTATTCCTTCACCGTGGAAGTCAATCGTGAACATTTGTTGAGTACGTATTTCATTACAAAAATTGGTACCTGCCAGCGAGATTCGAACACCGGTGCATCGCTCGATACGAATGCACCGGACGTCTTATCCTTTAGGCCACGACGACTTCCAATACATTCTACATGTATAATACATTCTACATGACAATACATTCTAGAACTAATTCTAAAATTCAAGTAATATTCGCATAAACAATCGAGACGTTTTTTTAATTTATCTATACTAGAGGTCCCGCAGTAGTCGAAATTCGACTATAATTAATTGGAATTGTAAGATTGTACACTATTATGATGGTATTTTATACTTCTATAATCACAAATTTCGCCAAGGCTACACTATAAAAAATATTAACAAAGACAAACAATATTTAATCTATTCTCAATTTGACAACAGACGTCAAGAACAAAAGTTTGACAATAAATAGTATGCATGCGTGTGTGCGTCAAATACATGGTATGTAGTGCGTGTAATGTTTTCTTTATTGATTTAATGTATCTTTTATGCATTATTTTAAAAAAATATTAGCATTGTGCACTTCTTCTCTATATTCTCTATAAGTGTGGAAAATTTCATACTCCTCCGTCCGCGCAATTTTCGTAAAAAGGGATACTAAGTTTTTGCTTCACGTATTAATATATAGATTTACTATTATATATATTTATAGGTAGTTAACGTTTTAATTTCTATTGTTTCAGATCGGTCGCAAATATTACCTAGACTTTAGCGTGCTATCGGGGTTCACCTGTTTCATCCTAGGACTTTTAGGTTTCAGATCGAAAAGACACAGGTTGTTACCTAACAGGAATTACGTGTCAGGTAAATATAGCAATTTTTTTTTATTGCCCTTGTAGGCAGACGAGCATACGGCCCACCTGATGGTGAGTGGTTACCGTCGCCCATGGACTTCAACAATGTCAGGGGCAGAGCCAAGCCGCTGCCTAAGTACTCTCCGCAAGCCTCGTTTGAAGAAGGACATGTCATAGCGCTCGGGAAACACCGTGGAGGGGAGCTCATTCCATGGCCGGATGGTACGGGGCAAAAAAGATCTCTGGAAACGCACTGTGAAGTTCACAGTGTGAACTAGTCATGCTTCAAAGCCATATATGCAAACAAGCTTTATTTTGGAATCATTGACACGCTTTTATTAGCTTCCTAAGATTTGAGTATGTATGTAACGGAATTTTCGACCGTGACTTTGATTTCAAAAGGTTTTTTTTTATTGCTTAGATGGGTAGACGAGCTCACAGCCCACCTGGTGTTAAGTGGTTACTGGAGCCCATACACATTTACAATGTAAATGCGCCACCCACCTTGAGATATAAGTTCTAAGGTCTCAGTATAGTTACAACGGCTGCCCCACCCTTCAAACCGAAACGCATTACTGCTTCACGGCAGAAATACGTTGGGTGGTAGCACACCTACCCATGCGGACTCACAAGAGGTCCTACCACCAGTAAAACATAATTTACGACAAAATACGAGATTTTCAAGATAAGCTTGCATAAATACAAGTTCCGAACAACGTTAGGACCGTCGGTCTACCGAGCCATATCATCCGCTCGGTGGAAGATCTTCCCTTTGTCGTATATCTCTGCAATTTTTTCCGTCATGCCCCTCCACCAGAACTTTAGTTACGAATTAGAACGCCCACAGATAATAGGGATAACAGGGGTGGTGGTACCTACCCGTGTGGACTCACAAGAGCTCCTACCACCAGTAATTAGGTACGCAAATTATAATTTTGCGGGTTTTTTATTTTTATTACACGATGTTGTTCCTTCACCGTGGAAGTCAATCGTGAACATTTGTTAAGTACGTATTTAATTAGAAAAATTGGTACCCGCCTACGGGATTCGAACACCGATGCATCGCTACATACGAACACACCGGACGTCTTATCCTTTAGGCCGCGACGACTTCATCTGGTCCACCGGTGGCATTCAATGTGTTGCTTTTCTTGCAGGGTACATAGTGCTGTCGTCTTTCTCGCTGCTCAGCGCTTTCGGTCTGCTTGTTCTGCTGTCGGTACAGCCGAAGTCCGGAACGCCACTGAGCGATATAACATCGGGCGCGGTGTGCGCTGTGTCCGTACTCGCGCTGGGCGTGGCCTGTCTGGGCGCCGTCGTGTCTTACTGCTGCGCGAGCGACCCGCCAGACAACAGAGTCGCCAGTGTACGTTATTGAGGTTAAATGGCAGCTTTTTATCCTATGCTGATAGTCTTGAGAGGCTGTTTCAGCTTCGCCCTAACATGTGAGCTCACGGGGCTCAAACCGGAGTGTTGCTAACACTGGTCTTAGCAAGAGTAGTGCTTCGCAGAATCTGTCACCGGATCGGAATCGCGAGAAGATCCGGCGAGAAACTCAGTGGGCTGAATGGCAGCGGAATCGAAATGTACAATAAAAGTCGATTGAATGTTGAATTTTTGTGTGCGTTTACAGCAAGGACAACGCGATTACAAACATTCTAGCAAGCTCATTGCTTTTATTAAATTAGATTAAATGACAGTTTTGAATTTGCGCAAACGTCACTGTCATTTTTAAGGCAAAGGCTTCTAGTAAGTATAATGCCATCAAAAGCGCGTACCTACAAATCTTGCGTATTGCGCCACCTTAATTGGCTCCCATTCCGCGGACACTTTTTAATACAGTGAAGAGATGGTGCTTCTTACCAGGGTTGTTACGAATATTCGCATCCGCATCCGCAAATGCGGACTATTCGCATTATTTCAGACATCTGCATCCGCATTCACATCCGCATCAATCAATGCGGAGTTTTACGGATGCAGATTCAATTCAACAAGTAACTACATGTAAAGAAAGTGGGCGGAGCCAGAGTGGGACGTGCTTCACGTTTGTTTGGTAATTGCTAACTTCATTCGGTAACTGACGAATAGGAAGGCGCACATTGGTAACAAGATCCTACAGGTTTTGTTTATTGTGTTTTTTCTCATTGTCAATAAATTATAGTTACAGTCAGTGTTTACTGTGTATTTCNAATATCTTTGAAATACGTCATTTAAAATTGGTTCACGATTAACTTAAAAAAAACGTATAAAAGTTTGTATAATTATAATAGGTATTATATAATTGATCAAAAACACCAAAAAATATATAAGTATACTTACTATTTCAATTCAAAACTTAATTAACACATACACATCTTTTCAAACGTTAATTAATATTGGAGCATATACTGGTGGTAGGACCTCTTGTGAGTCCGCGCGGGTAGGCACCACCATCCTGCCTATTTCTGCCGTGACGCAGTAATGCGTTTCGGTTTGAAGGGTGGGGCAGCCGTTGTAACTATACCTACTTGAGACGTTAGAACTTATCTCAAGGTGGGTGACGCATTTACGTTGTAGATGTCTATGGGCTCCAGTAAACACTTAACACCAAGTGGGCTGTGAGCTCGTCCACCCATCTAAGCAATAAAAAAAAAGCAAATTTTATGTATTCTCTTGTAACATAGTTTTTTTTTTATTAATTTATGAGTTCCTCAAGTCGAAGAGAGACGAATGTGTTTTATTAAAAGCCTACTAATTAATTGTTTTCTCAAATATATACGTAAATTAGAGTTTTAAATACTTCAACTCTCTCACTAATCTTGTTTAAGTAATAGTAGGTACCTACGAGAATAATAAAGATATCGAAATAATTTTAGACAATAAATAATGCAAATAATTTAATACAAATGTTAATAATTGTGAAAATAAAAATTGTTCGCTTAATTCTTTGTCTCTTTCTTTCCTACGGTTTCATATTCTTGAGTAAATATTTTTTTATGTAACCTTACCATGGCCACATAGCACGAAGAGAGGACGGTCGATGGGGCAGAAAGATCCTGGAGTGGCGACCACGTACTGGCAAGCGCAGCGTGGGACGGCCACCTACTAGATGGACCGACCACCTAGTAAAAAGCGCTGGGTCTCGTTGGATGCAGGTGGCAATGGACCGGTCGCACTGGAAATCTATTGGAGAGGCCTATGTTCAGCAGTGGACGGCGATAGGCTGAAATGATGATGATGATGATGATGAACCTTATCATAATCCCTTTATTAAAGTCTGTTGCAAATGACGTCACGCAACAAATGTAGGGACTTTAAGAACTGGAAGGTGGTCTTGTGACAAAAAAACACACAAAAAATATTTAGTGGTTACTGGAGTCCACAGACATCAACAACGTAATTCCACCTTGAGACATGAGCTCCAAGTTAAAGTCTCTAATACAGCTTTTTTTCCTACCTGTTCCCTATTAGCCCAAGGGCTTATTCCAGCTACGCCCGGACGGATTTTTCTAAATCGTCGCTGTCAAACCAAAATCTGCTATGTACAAAAACTCTATTTTGAATTAACGAATAAAAACATTTTCGTATAAAATTTTATATGCAGGTGAATTTTTAAGTACCATAGATTATACACTTAATATTTAAGTACTATATCAAATGAAAGCTATAGATAAATATTAAAGCTATAGACACTTAACAGTTTTTTTATACGGTAGACAGGGCTGTGAACTATACGAAAAGGTCATAAAGTTACGAAACGGTCAAAATCTCAAAAAGTGCACATAGCAGATTTTGGTTTGACAACGACGAAATGCCATTTAGATTAAATGATAATCAATAATAGTCAACAATAATCTTTGGTAAAATAAGGATTGAGGATGCAAATGCAGACGAAAGTTTACCAGCTAAACTAACCTTTCCCAAAGTGGGCGATAACGCCCGCAGCGCCCAAAAGGGGGGCGGTAAGTGACCTAGAAAAAAATGGGGGTGTTATGTAGAGGTTTAGGATGCCATATGTAATTTCATCTAGGAGGACTCTTAGACACCGACTGAGCTCTCGCTATAGTGTATTTTAAGTAAGTGAAAAAATGGGGGCGCTAAAAAATAATTTATTCTCAAAGTGGACAGTAGACAAAATAAGTTTGAGAGCCCCTGGACTAAAGGATTAAATTTTAGATTTTCCTGACGACAAAATTGATTTGTGTTTTATTTTAAATTCCATACCTACTTCTTTCCTTACCTTTTCTTCTTTGCCTGCATACAATCCAATTCAACGGGTATTTAAATATATTTAGATTTAAATTATTTGTTTATTGCTTAGTTGCTTAGAGTGGTGGACGAGCTCACAGCCCACCTGGCGTTAAGTGATTACTGGAGCCCATAGACATCTACGACGTAAATGCGCCATCCAGCTTGAGATATAAGTTCTAAGGTCTCAGTATGGTTACAACGGCTGCCCCACCCTTCAAACCGAAACGCATTACTGCTTCACGGCAGAAATAGGCAAGACGGTGGTACCTACCCGTACAGACTTACAAGAGTTCCTACCACCAGTATTGCGACACCAACAAAACACCCTCTCACCTGTTCTTATGATCTTCCGGATCTCTGACTGTCACATCGCAAATGGTGCATTCCGTGAACATTGTCCCATCTAAGGCCTTCATTTGATCACAATCCAAGTCTAGTGAGGAGAACCGCTCTTTAAATCATCACGCTCATCCTCGATAACCTATCAGAGGTCTTACCAGAGACTCACAAGAGGTCCTACAACCAGTAAATCAAAGCGTACAATAATTATTATACATTCAAATGAAGCTAAAAAGGCATATAGTGTAGTAGTATAAACACGCGGAAAGAAGTTGTACTGCGGGTGATGAGAGAACAGTCATCAAACTAGGCACGACTTTCAGAAATGAAGATGCCAACTCATAAGAAGAAGAGTATGTACGTAGATATCAAGAGCCACAGTGAAAGGCTATTTGGTATAGGTGATATTTCGCTTAACACGAGACATATAGCTTTGTAATTAAAGGTCCGTCTTAGTTGGTATTAGCATCAACAGTTTGAACTTCAATTATGTTTACCCCATTCACATAGCTGAAGAAGGTTTTTTTGATATTGTTTCCATCTTATAAACTTGAAATGACTCTGCTGTAAAGTTGCAAAAATTGTGTCACTCATACCTCTGTGCACCTGCGTAAGTTGATTTTAGGCGGCAACGTACACTGAACTTGTGCGTCACCGCTTTCTTAATTGATTACCGGTTACCAGGTAGACGGCTGATAGCGATAAGATCGCCTTTGTGTTATTTATTCATTTGACTAATTTTAATTATGTTTTGTACAATGAAGTGAAAGTATTTAATTAAATGTCTTACTGTGCACCTGCTCTATGAAATTATACAGTAAGTATTTTTTGAGCGTAGATCATAAAATATGTTTGAAAAAACTATTTAAAAAAACTATTTATTTGAAGTGATTTTCTTGAATTCATGGTTTTCGTGAAACGGAACGGTACTGTCAAGTGTCAAAGGTGTGAAATATTCTGTTCCATATAAAAGTTCAGATTCCAGCCACTTTTATAGCATAAGAACAGCTTGACAACTGTTGTGATTCGTGCTCGAGACAAAGATACCAACAAATATGTTTGAGATCACGTTGTGTAGGAAACGCGTCTCGAACCAAACTAAAACATAGAAAAATAAAGTTGCAGCGATTTAATCACCTTACTGTGCTAATTTGATAACAATACAATTGTTTGATAACATAAAATTAATTGAAACAGTCTCACAACGAGATGTGTAATTATTAGTAACGTGCCATTAACTGCATTTCAATTTATACCCATCGAATTATGCATTTTATGACAAGTTAATAAGTTTATTTGCAATTGGACCAAAGAGTTAGTAATTGGTGAGTCTTTGTTTGTTATTTTTTCTAAACATTGGTTTATTGGCTTAACTTTATGATTACACTAACGAATTGTTTGTGATATTCTTTGATTAAGTTTTTCTGTTAAATCTGATCTTTGTTCAAAATATGGGTATCCTTTTTAATGGTTTATGGAAAATAACTAACAAATGTTATATACGCACATAATAACACAAACACGAGTACAAAACATGTTAATTAACTTCAATCTTTTTATCACAATAATATTTGCAATTTTGTAAAATGCATTCTAAAGATTTAAACCAAAATTTGTTGAAAAGTAAAATATTGTGATGCTTGCTAGAATTACTCTGGTTTTATTTACTGATAGGTCCCATATCGTATCCCAAGTAGTATTAGTTAGCCCGTACATTACCTGATTGTAAGTGGTTACAAGCCCCATTCAAGCTGAAAGTTAGTGAAATGATTAATTGATTGATATATTAATATCCCAGCCCTAAAGGTAAGATAAAATGACGTTTATGGTCTCGGGTTAGTTTATTTTACTTTCCGTTCCTCAGTGAGGTTGTTGATGTGTACAACTAACTAACATGCTATTACAGCATTCACTGTCTCTAGCTTTGTGGGAAAGAAGTTGGAGTCTAAGTTCCTTCTAAGTTTCTTTGTGTCCTATTATGTTCAATTAAGTTCTTGTTAATTGTTTTTTATGTATTTATTGCAAAATTTTATGGAAAAATTTATGTATGGCTATCATTAGCTTATATATTCAATTTAGTTTTACTTTCTGTGTCTCTACTTATTATTGTATTGTAACTTACAAGTATGTAACTGAATTTTTTAAAGAAATAAAAAATTGTGAATGAAATATTGTTAGCTTACTCTCCAAAGCAAGTAGTAATTGATTAATCTTATTCTTTCTTCTTTCTTTCCTATTACTCTCTGCTGGAATGTAGGACTCGAATCAAATTATTCCATTTGCATCAAACTTGGGTAAAAAAAAAAAGATTCTTAACTTTGTTAAATGAATTAGGATTTAGTATTGCTACGTACTTTGTAAGCCTGTTCCGGTAGATTCTACCATCCTGCCCATTTCTTCGGTGAAGCTGTCACGTAGTTCAGTTTTAAGACTTTGACAGCCATTACAAAATAGCATTGATACATTGACCCCATATCACCCGGTGAGTGACAGAGGTCACATTCTGATGTTCCTGTGTCTCCAGTAACTGTTTAACATGACTTTGAGTTTACTCACCAATCTAATGCACACATTAACAACATTAACATCATTATCATCATTCGATGATGATCTCAGCCTATAGCTATCCTCTGTTGAGCATAGGCCACTCCAATCAATCTCCGCTGCGACTGATCCGTTACCACCTGCATCCAACGTGACCCAGAAATTTTCATTAGCTCGTGAGTCCATCTGGTAGGTGGCCGTCCCACACTGCACTTGCCAGTACTTGGTCTCCACTCTATAATATATCTGTCCAACCGGCAGTCCGATCTTTTTATCTGGGCTGCCCATTGCCACTTCAGCTTGACAATCCTACGGGCTTTGTCAGAAAGCATGCTCCTATGCTCAATTACCTATCTAATTTTCACTACTTATTCTGATTACGTTGTATTGTTAGACCACACGATCTTGTGGTACCAGGTTATCTGTGAAGTTTATATGCATATTATAAAAATGAAAAATAGAAATAATTTTTTTCATTCCGTGTCAAAAATAGATTATATAGACAGATAGATAGACAGTCACAACTTTGTGATGTGGTTACTGAATCCTTTTAAATAAGTTTACGATTAAACTTTGTATTTCCGTGCCTGTCATGTATGATAACATTGTGTTATCATTCACAATGGGTTATAAATAAACGAATTGTAATAATACTAATGTCACTCTGACCCACTCTTTGACGAATATCACTATTCTATTCGATTATCACTACACTATTCTATCACTATTGTAAACTATTCGTGTGCCACATGTCATTTGTTGATATTTCTGTGCACTACAAGTGTACCAATTTACTTCTTAATTGGATGAATTGATAACAAGGTTTTTTTTTTTTTTTTTTTTTATTTACAATCAGTATCCAGTACTTTTATTAGATGCGTTGAAATTTTCTTAGTCAGTAAGAGCGTGACTCCAGCGAGCCATCTACTCTAAATTTGAGATTTGTCATTGAACTATATGACGTCTTTTCTCTTGAGCCGTTTACAGTAACTTCGTTTTTTCAAGGCGGCAGCCAGATTGTTTGGGTGCTTTTCCAATCTTTCGTGGTGTTTTTGTTTTTTACGATTTCCTGCATTATTGTAGGCATCCCTAGTTCTCTGTGCATTTCAATGTTTGTGACCAACCACGGAACACCACTTATGGAGCGCAAGATACAGTTTTGCATTATTTGTATTATATTGATATTCGAATTGCAGGCGCTACCTCATAATTCGATTCCGTACAACCAAACTGGCTTAAGGATAACTTTGTAAATTAAAAGTTTGTTGTTAACACTCAGCTTGCTGTTACGTCCCAACAGCCAATGGAGATTTTTGTATCGGATGTTTAGTTCCTGTCTCTTAGTCCTCCTATCTCTCCTGACCTTTTTGTAATCTCTGTGATGCTACAAAACGAACCGTGTGACTCGCCAATATTGCAGTATCATCGGCGAATGTTGCAGTGGTAACATCATTAACCTCAGGTAGGTCAGCAGTGTATATAGTATATAATAGTGGTCACAGGACTGATCCCTGTGGTACACCTGCTGCGATATCGCAGAATCGTGACAAAGAATCCCCTTCTTTCACCTGGAATATTCTGTCTGCGACATACGATTTTAGCAGATAATAATACTGATGAGGTAGCGCTGCCTTTAATTTATAGAGGAGGCCTTTATGCCAAACTTTATCAAAGGCCTGCTGTATATCCAGAAACGCCGAGGAGCAGTAGAATTTCTCTTCCAAACTTTTGCGTATTTTTTCACAGACTGTGAACTTGTTCGTCCGTGCCATGATTTCGTCTAAACCTAAATTGATGATCAGGAATCATTTTTTCGTCATTGAGAATTGGGACAAGTCTACTTTTCAGGAGCGTCTCGAAAATTTTGGAAAGTATTGGCAGCAAGCTTATAGGTCGGTATGAGGATACTTCATTGGGTGCTTTGCCCATCTTGTGAATCATAATTATGTGAGATACTTTCCAGGCCATTGGAAAATACTGGACTCTTAATATGCTATTATAGAGTGAAGTCAGGAACACTACCACCTTTCTTGGAATTTGTTTTAATATCTCCTTGGTTATAAGATCATATCCGGGAGCCTTTTTATCCTGTAGTTTTGATATAACTCCCCAAACTTCGCGTACTGTGACTGGCCGCTGTGGGGGTACCATTTGGAAGTCTTGTAGCAGAATTTCATTGATGTGTTCCTCATGTACTAAATCTATGTCAGCATTTGGTTTAAAAACTGATTCAAGATGTTGTGCGAATGCGTTTGCTTTTTCTTGAGATGTTCGCGCCCAACCATTCATGGTTTTTATCAGAGGTTTGGATGACTGAGGTTTGCTATGATTCTTGGTGAATTTCCACAACGAGTAATTAGTTGCTGCAGTGGCTGTTAGTGTCACGAGGCGATCCTCCAACGATTTATTGTGCCAGTTGTTCAGTATTTCTTTTAGTTGAACCGCACTCCTATACAGCGCTTTCTTGTATGCTTCTAATCTGCTTTGGTGCCAGACACTTCTAAGCCTCCCCTTTTCCAGTACTGCCTTGTTGACTTCCAATGGATAGTTTATACGAGTTTTTACAGACTCTTCTTCAGGCGTGGACACCCAGCATGCTTCTTGGATCAGATTAGTTATGTATCTAGTCGCATTTTCAATATCATCAGGTGTTTTCAGAGCTACTTTCAGGTCAATTTTTTCATCAAGGGTTTCCCTGAACGAGTTCTAGTCAGTGCTTTTATTACTCAATTTTTTAGGTGTCGTATATTCTATCACCATTGTACTTAAATTTAGTAGGACTGGAGTGTGGTCTGTGGAGCTGTCATAGCACGACTCAGATTTAATATAGTGTGTTGAAAACCCTTTCAAAATAAAGAAGTCCAATAGGTCTGGAATTTTATTTGGGTCTGAGGGCCAGTAAGTCGGTTCCCCAGTTGAGACTGTGGTTAATTTGCAATTATCCACACAGAGCTTCAACTGTCGTCCTCTTGTGGTCGTGAGTCTCGAGCCCCAGTAAGTGCAAATTGCGTTCCAGTCTCCACCCACGACAAAGCGATTTCCGAGACTTTGGAAGAAATCTATGAACATATATCCCCCATGTTTTTATGCTTTGGCGGACAGTATATTGCTGACAAGTTAAAACAACCACTTTTGTCTTCAATTAGTATTGTAGTGGCTTGAATGTGATCGGTTTTGTAGTCAGGCATTGGGTGGTGTTTTATGGATTTTCGTACTATTATTGCTGTTCCTGCATGTCCAGTACCATCAGGGTGAGTAGTGACGTAACACACATAGTTTTTGAATTTTATACTAGAGGACGCAGTACAGTGAGCCTCGGAGATTAGCAGCACGTCTCAATTATGCTGAGTCATCAGTAGTTCCGCTTCGTTCTTATTAGGGGCGAGGCCGTTAATGTTCCACGTAGCTATTCTTAATGAAGTCATTTTGAGAACTTATTAATGAGTTTAGTTATGAGCATCATTAATGCGCTCATTTGTTGTAGGATGAGGTCGTATTTCTCTGTTTGTTTGAGAAGTAATTGTTCTATTGGTGAAGAGACCGGTGGCTGCAAATCAGGAGAGTCTTCAGTCTGTTGTGTGCTGTTAGATCTTATGGCTTCCGCATATGTGTTGTGTATTTGGGTTCTGTGTCTTGGGTATGCAGTATTAAATTGCTCCCCTTTAGTGGATTGTGGATTTTCAAGGATCTTTCTTTTAGTTGTTGGCGGCTTCATTCTTCGTGCAAGGATTTCTCTGTATACCTCACATCCTTTATAGTTGGCTGGATGTGGTCCACTACAGAGTGCACAAAGCGCAGGTGTATTACGGTCTTTTTTATCGCAATCGGAGGTCTTATGGGATTGGCTGCATTTAACACAACGAGGAGTTCGCATACAGTAATTTTTAGAGTGCCCGTATTGCTGGCATCTGTGACATTGGATTATAGACCTTCTTTTCCTCGGGTCTTCGATAACAACAAACTGATGGTGTATAAATTTAAGGTCTTTGGCAACTTTATTGTTTGGGCCGGGCAAGAGATTTACGAAAAAGGTGGAAGTAGGCTTCTTTTCGGGGCCGAATTTGGCATTAATTGTTTCTCCCTTAACAATATTTCCGGTGGCTTCTACTTATTCTTTGATGATGTCAATGGGTGTAGAAGGGTGTAAGTTCCGTATGACAATTCTGAGGCATCTTTTGATATTTTCAATTGAAAGTGTGGCCTATTAGCCCCTTTTCTCTCACTAGGGTAAGGATTCTTTTATACACATCCATGTTAACACAGTTCATCCTTAGTTGGTTTCGATTAGTGATCTTGAATGTGAACTCTGTCACGTCCGCGACAGTTTCTAGCATTTCAGTAAGTTTGTTGATGTCGTCAACCCCATATAGAATAATTGGGGGCGGCTTACTTGTTTTTTTAACCGTGGTAGTTTCAGAGTCTTCGTCTGTTAGATCAATTTGAAGACCACTAAATTTATTTGAGGTTATCACAGATTCTGGGACTGGACCGTAAGATGTTTTCTTTCTTTTGACACCTTTGCTTACAGGAATTCTTTGCCATGGTGGTGGGCATGTAGTATCTCTTAGCGTTTCGGCAGAGGCCTCAGAGCTTTGACTGCATTTTTCTTTAGCAGACGCCTGGTTCGAAAGACTTCCTAGGGACGAACTTCTTGGCCGATTTAAGAAGAGGCTAGGATGGAATGCCTGCTGAACTAACTTCTTTTGACCAGTAGCATTTACTGGCATAGAAGCCTGGGTTGCCACTTCTATGCCGTCTTCGGTAGCAGATTTCAAACCCTCCGGCCCGGGTACCAGAGGGGGTTAGTCGGGCCGCATGACAAATCACACTCATTACTCTGACTTTCCATATTATAAAGGTGTTGGGAGAAATACTACTGATACTTTCCCAAGGTACCATCGCCACTCTTATTGAGGGAATTTAGTCCTCATGGTTTGTGGTTACCATTATTCAGGTTAATGAACCGCCGCCTGTAGCTCGGCGTTGTTGCTCATTTTGCAGAACCCGGAGGGCACGTGTAGGGAGGGTCTAGGAAAAGATGGTAATCCTACGGACGCGAGCAACATCTACCCCCCAAAGTAGTGTACTAAAAATTAATTTATAAAGGTTCAAATGAATTTGTTACACTGCATCAGGCGTCTATTTTGAAATGACCAACCGTAAACTTCTGTTAATACAAGAATCTGTATCCCAGAATCGTCGAGGTCCTTGCTGCTCGCACGTACTATACCTCAACTTGACGACTGTCGTAAGGTAATCGTATCAAGCGAGCTTAGACTGTGCTTTCCAGTATTTAGCAGTCTATTGCTCCCTATAATCGACGATCACTTCTTTGCCAGATTGTATCAGACTTATCCTCCTCCTCCCTGACTCACATCCCTCATGTTTGAGGGTCGTGACCGTCTCCGCCCATTATCCTTCTCTGGATAATGTTTCGCCATCTTCCTCTGTTCTCGGCGATGTGTATGGCATCGTAGACTGTAGTATCTAGTGTGGTGCAGATTTGGTCGGACCAGCGCAATGGACCAGACTTATGTACTACCGGTAATAATGTAAACGTCTATACTATCATCTGAAGGTTTGAAGGGTGGGGTAGCCGTTGTAACTATATTTGAGACCTTAGAACTTATATCTCAAGGTGGGTGGCGCATTTGCGCCACAATGCGACGTAAATACGTCGTAAATGTCTATGGGCTCCAGTAATCACTTAACACCAGGTGGGCTGTGAGCTGGTCCACTCATCTACTGGGATTCTGTATATAAGCAACGATTCATTTCGGTGAGAATGGTGGTACAGCTATTAATTATAAACATTGAGTCAATAGCAAAAGCCCTTGTTTTAAAAATCATTTTGCCGTTGCTATCACATTATTATAATAGACTTCCTAATTGGTTCCAGAGTGCAATGTCTCATCCTCACATACGAGAAGCAGCTGAATCTCTCCTAAACAGTGTCACGTCCCCGCCTTATAGAATGATGAGTGAGTAAAGTGGTCCTAATTCTAGAACTAAAGTCTAAAGCCACGTTGTGAGGAAAGTCAATGGAAATTTTGAAACCTTTGTTGATCACCTGACTTCAGTACACGATTTTGCTATACATCACCAATAAAAGAAGGTGATAGAATATTATCATAAGAAAGAAGTTCGGGGAATATAACTGTCATCCTCTTAGATATGAAAAGTCTTACTTAGGAGACTGGTCAGGTCTTTTCGGGACCATCTAGTAACCACAGGACCATGGTATCTACATTATTCCTGGTGGGGCGGTGGCTCTTACACCCATATCATTCCCCATCCTGCGGACAGAATGGAAAGCAGTCGACGTCGCCCCAAACACGTCATTTCGGATCCTCCCGATCCACTAACGGTGCTTTTAGGTACCTCAAGCACCGGTCATCGTTCTCGTCGAACCCGTCGCTTGCGACGAAGGGCTCGACGAGTAAATTAACCCTCAGACACAGCCCACTGAGTTTCTCAGTGGGTCGCGTTACCGATCCGATGGTAGATTCTGCGAAGCACGGCTCTTGCTAGGGTTCGTGTTAGCAACGTCATCCGGTTTGAGCCCCCTGAGCCCACCTACCAGTTAAGGCGATGCTGATATAGCCTCTCAAGTCTATCAGCTTAGGTAGGAAAAAAATAAACACCCGTATACGCAATAAACAATATAAGATGTTCCTTTACGACATAATTGATTGTACTAATGCTGAAGGAAGCTAGACTTTATGTTGGAAACTATAAAACCGATCCATTTCAGATCATTCACAGTCCGTGAATCTGATGACCGAGGACCTAGTGGCGGGACACAGGCCCGCCGGGAAGATGTCCTCGGTCAGAAGGTTCTTCTGTCTCTTCGTGACCTTCGATTTAATGTTCACAAGCCTCATGTGGCTGATTTGTGTTATGGTGAGTTTTACCGCTTTTCAAGTGCAAAGTCGGTGAATTCTAGATCAACGGATGTGGGTACGTGGTCATATGAGCTGTCACGAATACCGCCTCCTCCAGAGATGTCGAAGTTTTTTTTTATTGCTTAGATGAGTGGACGAGCTCACAGCCCACCTGGTGTTAAGTTGTTACTGGAGCCCATAGACATCCACAACGTAAATGCGCCACCCACCTTGAGATATAAGTTCTAAGATCTCAGTATAGTTACAACGGCTGCCCCACCCTTCAAACCGAAATGCATTACTGCTTCACGACAGAAATAGGCAGGGTGGTGGTACCCACCCGCGCGGACTCACAAGAGGTCTTACCACCAGTAAAGTCTTATTTGGCTGTCACAATCTTTAAGCTATATGATGGCTTCGCAGCAGTAACATGCACCATGGTCCGGTGTCTACCCGTGCGTGCCTTTAATAAGTCGTACGATTGTACACTGCTGCCCATTCTCCGGTGAATCTCTAAGTCTCCATTGCGTCACTCACGAGAAGAGATGCTTACTGCTCTAGCTAATATACAGGATAAAACATACCACCAATCTACCCTCAGTAAATCTGTCTATGTGAACGGACCCTAAATCGCATTGTTAAACAGGCTCCTTCCACATTCAAACCGTATCTAAGAGTACCGATGACAAAACAATAATTTTATTATATAGACCAAAAAATAATATTTTTTAAATTCCAATCGTTATTAAAGCGCTCTTCTTTGGTATTTAACTATTTAAGTTGTATTGTAGTCTTGTTTTATAATAAAATGAAGTGAAAGAAACATGAAACATGACAAGATGGTACAGAATATTCCGCCCCCTATGGTCCCTTGCAGTGAACATGCTACTAGAGATATGACCCGAGGATGGTTGATATCGGGCGGTCTCTGGTCTCTGTGAGGACATACAGCGCCGACCTCACGCGGTGTGTTATAAGGACAAGAAGGGGAAAAAATTATAATGTGAAATATATGTTTCCTTGCTTCAGGTTCGTAACGAGACGTTAGACCAAATATTGCAAAGAGAAATTATTAGTTATAATATAAAACTATCGTTATTCGACATAGTGGTGTTAGCTGTGATAAGATTTACAATATTATTGTTGTTCTACGCTTTATTATATATCAACAATTGGAGTGTGATAGCTGTGAGTATGTCAGTTTTATTTTTGTTTGCCTTAGGTCAGGTCTGCATTTCCTTGGAGTCGTTTGGTGGGTAGGCTCCTAAAAACATCCTTAGTCTGAGGATCTACCCGGAAAAAAGGTCTACATGGATTATTTTATCACTAATCATACCAACACTTACGGATACCTATTTCTACCATAGCGGGTAGTTAACGGTATACGACAAGTATTACTTAAGACTTTTTTGGCGGGAACGCGAGGAGTAAAGTTGTGTGATTTGTTTTAATTTGTCTATTTAGTGTTTCTTCGGGTTTAAATGTGTAATAACGGTGGTTTATTAACTGTTTAATATCTGTGAAAGTGCACAAATGTGGGAAAATGAAACAAAGCCGCTGGACGTCACTTCTCGGGATCCTCCAAAAAGTCCACTGAAAAAATCTTAGTGAATGACCACCATTTTACTGAGATTATATTTCATCCCATTTCATTTCATTTAATTTCATCCCAGTTGATTAATGTCTCAAATTAATCATCTTCATTTCATTTCACTCCATAATATAATTTTTGATAAAAATATGAATATAAATTAAAAAAAGACATGACTTAAAGGTCTCAGTTACCAGGTCATAAAATCCCTTAAAAAAAAGTATAACTCAAAATAAACAAAAGAAAACAAACAAAAAAAATAAGTAACTGTAGATTAATTCGTAAGAAAAAGTCATGAAGTCAAATAGTGCAAAAGCAATAAGATTATACGTGCATTTCAATGCCAAATTTCAAAATGGGTCATTTGACCCGCTATGTTATGTTAGCGGTATGGTATGTTAGTATATGGCGTCGTAGTATACCTGTAGTGGTCTATTCAGAAGAGAGATGGTGGTCTTACTACTGCATGGCCGCAGAAACGACCTCACCTACTTACCTAGCCTACCAGTGTGCTTAGTGCGAGCTTTTTAACGTTCTCGATAGCGTAAAAGTTAACTTTTTTTTTTTATTGCCTTTGTAGGCAGACGGGCATACGGCCCACCTGATGGTGAGTGGTTACCGTCGCCCATGCATGGACTTCAGCAATGCCAGGGGCAGAGCTAAGCCGCTGCCTACCGCTTAATACTCTCCACAAGCCTCGTTTGAAGAAGGACATGTCATAGCGCTCGGGAAACACCGTGGAGGGGAGCTCATTCCATAGCCGGATGGTACGTGGCAAAAAAGATCTCTGGAAACGCACTGTGGATGACCGCAGCGGCTCCAGGTAGTATGAATGAACTCTACTCCTGTGGCGGGCGGTGCGATGGTAAAAACGAGATGCTGGTATCATCTCGAACAATTCCTCAGAGCACTCCCCATGGAACATACGGTATAAAATACAGAGGGAACCGAAGTCCCTAACTCAAATTTGTATGCAGTTGGAACAGCGCCCCTAGCGGCAAACGTGGGAAATCGTTCCAATACCATACAAATTTGAGTTAACTTATACGCGTTTGAGAACGTTAGAAAACTCGCACTAAGCACACTGGTATTGAGTGGTTATCGGAGTCCATAGGCATCATGATGCAAACGTGGCATAGACAGAGCACCTAGGGCACTAGTGTAGTTGTCGGGATGCGAGCTCTGGTCGCGTCGCTTGATATGAGCTCACCAGACGTCTTAGGCCGACGTCGTGTGATGGTGGGAAGGAGATGAGGCTGTCACATGAAATGCCTTCTCAGAGCGTCTGTCGAGCTGAGAAACCGACATGTCAATTTTTTTTATTGCTTAGATTGGTGGACGAGATCACAGCCCACCTGGTGTTAAGTGATTACTGGTGCCCATAGACATCTACGACATAAATGCGACACTCACCTTGAGATATAAGTTCTAAGGTCTCAAGTATAGTCACAACGGCTACCCTGCCCTTCAAACCGAAACGCATTACTGCTTCACGACAGAAATAGGCGGGGTGGTGGTACCCACCCTTGTGGACTCACAAGAGGTCCTATCACCACGCAAATTAGATGCAGAGGTTCCAAAAAAAAATTTTTTTTTCGCTTTTTGCCCTGATTTTCAATTTGATGACAGACAAACTTTTTGCAAATTATGTATGTAATATTAAACTTTGGCGATCTGTTTTTATTCCAGCTCTCGACAAGCGGCACTTGCGCCTTTTTAATAGCGAAAGTGTTCGTATTCGTTGTAAGTACGAGACGTTTTATTAATATTGTTACATTACGGTCAGTTGAAATCAGTCTTACCTTTCTAGATACAGTTAATCACGTTTAATTGTATTTAGGTATGGCTTTTTTTTTTTTGTAATCGAAGGCACTCGGTTGTGGAATCGCTCAGCGAAACTGCCTCTACTAACCCGTTGACGTCACACGTTTGAAGACAAGATGAAATCGGTTGTCGATACATACTTAAACAATGACGTCACTGTACAAATTCGAAATGTTTCGGGCTCGTTTAGCGAGATGCGTACAGAGGCTCTGTGCACAATAATGAACCTTCGAGCTCTATTAAATTATAGATTGTTGATAATAGATTAAAGAATTAAGAAATAATTGGATAGAATCTCTAAACAAAACCGCGAGAACGATGTCATTAGCAAGAATACGGTCATCTAGGTGGGGATGGTAACAATATCTTTATATGTCTAAGATGGGTGGACGAGCACACGGCTCACTTGATTTTAAGTGATCACCGCAGACCTTAGACATTGAAATCGTAAATGCCGCCAGCCAACTAGAAACATGAGCTTTAAGTCTCATTTTTTACAATAAAACAGCTGCTCCGCCTTTCAAACTGCGATACATTACTGCTTCACGGTAGAAAAAGGTACCTACCCGTGCGAGCGTAAAGACGACCTACCATCTAAGCTTTTAAGAGCCCTCCAGTCACTGATCGGACAAGCTTGATTTAGCTTATGACAATCCTTATTTTTCATCTCTGACAGTGGTCCGATGCGTCACAGCCCGTGTATCAAGTGTTCCTTATACTGACTTCGTTTACGTTGTCATGGGGAGAGGCCTGGTTCTTGGACTTCAGGGTCTTACCGCAGGAGCTACACTGCAAGGAGATACTAGATTCCTTAGGTGAGATGGATTCGTGTGTGCCTTTTGAATAACCAAGGGTCTGTCACAGGGATGTCCGAAATGCAATAAAGTATCGATATAATATATAGTATCGATATTTTTTGAAAATATCAATATCGATATTGATATTTTTATTAAAAAATATTGATATATCGATATATCGGTATGATTTGACAGAGAATATTCGTGCTAATCAATAGACATCATTTTAATGACTTTTATGAAATTTTAAAGAATTTCAATACTATAATTTCATAAAATTTCAGGAATTTTCATAAAAAATTCAGGAAGTTTTATCAAATTTCATGAAGTTTCATAAAAAAAAAAACCAGTGAACATATAAATTTTTGTTGGTCTGAAAAAAATTTCGATTTTCATACCTTTTCGAAACTTGGAATTTTATATCGATACATCGATGTATCGAAGTATAAAATATCGCTAAAAAATATCGATACATTGAAAAAATAATATCGATATTTCGATTTATCGATATTTTTTCAACAAGCCTAGTCTGTCAGCCCTTCCACACTAACGCCTGTTTCGTCAGCTCAGCACAGCGTCTCCGAGCGCACGCCGCTACTGGACCCTCAGCCCGGTGTGAATTCGACGTACGCAGAGTCCACGGTTAAATGGTTCTCCCCGGTCGACACGCCGGAGTCGAGTCCACGGCCGCGAAGGTTCGGGGAGCAGGTCATACTGACGCAGGAGCAGGTGAGTTACGTATATGATTTTTTTTCCTACCTAAGCTGATAGTCTTGCGAGGCTATATCAGCGTCGCCTTAACTAGTAGGTGAGCTCACGGGGCTCAAACCTGACGACGTTGCTAACACGAACCCTAGCAAGAGCCGTGCTTCGCAGAATATACCACCGGATCGGAAACGCGACCCACTGAGAAGATCCGGCGAGAAACTCAGTGGGCTGTGTCTGTGGGTTAATTTACTCGTCGAACCCGTCGCTTGCGAGAAGCGAGAACGGTGACCGGTGCTTGAGGTACCTAAAAGCACCGTTAGTGGATCGGGAGGATCCGAAATGACGTGTTTGGGGCGACGTCGACTGCTTTCCATTCTGTCCGCAGGATCGGAAATAACCGTATATAATGCTATACGATACGATTTTATACGATCGGATACGATGTGAAGCCTTACGATACGATACCTATTATACAATACGATACGATAAAAAAGTTTATTGCATTTATGTATACCCAAATAAGAATAACGCACTGAAACGTAAATGAGAAAAAAATTACCTAAAACTAAAGTACAATGAATGGATTTATAGCCACGAAAGCGAAGCTTGCTCTTTGACATTATAAAAATACCGTAAGTAATAAGTAGATACAAATAAATGCAACGAATATAATACAAGTTTAAAACAAAAACATTTAAATAGTATATAATAAATAAATAGCCATCATCGATCATACGGGTTTGCCGGGAGCTCCAATATTTCCGAAGTTGACTACATAACTGACACTATGGGAACGGAAGGTATAATTCGTGATAAGGAGCTCATCATTTTTTTTAATGACCTGGTAACTAAGACTTTTAAGTCATGTCTTATTTTAATTTATATTCTTATTTTTATGAAAAATAATAATATGGAGTGAAATGAAATGAAGATGATTAATTTGAGACATTAATCAACTAGGATGAAATTAAATGAAATGAGATGATATGAGATGAAATATAATCTCAGCAAAATGGTGGTCATTTACTGAGATTTTTATTAGTACACTTTTTGGAGGATCCCGAGAAGTTACGTCCAGCGGCTTTGCTTTATTTTCCCACATTTGTGCACTTTCACAGATATTAAACAATTAATAAACCACCGTTATTACACATTTAAAACTGAAGAAACACTAAATAGACAAAATAAAACAAATCACACAACTTCACTCCTCGCGTTCCCGCCAAAAAATCCAGGACCTCATAAGATATGAAGTATGTACAGACTTTGGCGGCTAGATACTAAAAACTTGTGACTCATCTGTGGCCTTTATGTTCTTCGAAAGCCAACGAATGCGGAACCTCATAATTAATTTTACACTTCTTTTATAAATAAATTAACAAGATGGCCGCGTTTGATATATGGTTTGTGTTATATGAAATGCGATTATGCTTTTTTTAATGATTACTTAAATGGGTGGACGAGCTCACAGCCCACCTGGTGTTAAGTGGTTACTGGAGCCCAAAGACATCCACAACGTAAATGCCGCCACCCACCTTGAGATATGAGTTCTAAGGTCTCAGAATAGTTACAACGGCTGCCCCGCCCTTCAAACCTAATTATAATTTTGCGAGTTTAATTTTTATTACACGATGTTATTCCTTCACTGCGGAAGTCAATCGTGAACATTTGCTAAGTACGTATTTCATTAGAAAAATTGGTATCCGCCTGCGGGATTCGAACACCGGTGCATCGCTACATACGAATGCACCGGACGTCTTATCCTTTAGGCCGCGATCACTTCAAGCATTTACTGTCTCAAGATTTGCGGGGAGGGCTGTCGAAGTCCTATGTCTTTATCTTAATGTCTTCGATTTAATTCATCGTGGGATAGTTCCTTTAGTAGCTTAGGCGATATCGTTGAGAGCCGAGATTCTTATGTGTTCGCTGCTAGCTACATATGAGCTGAAGTAATGGATCCGGCCGCTACAGTGACCTTTGTAAGTTAACTCGTTAAAACAATCCATTTAAGATTATTATAAGACTAGCGGCCCGCTCCGGCTCTGCTCGGGTCTTTAACAAAAATTTCAACGATATTTGACGTTGATTTATTTTTTTTAAATAAAAGATTACTTATTGCGGCATAACTACAATAGTCAGACATATGCTGTCGCGACACTTTTTGTAATTAATAATGTGTTCTACAAAGTCGTAGTACATTATTTTATTCTATCATCAATATTGTTTTCGCAGGGCACGCGATGTAAAGAATATTTTAGGTCATTTTTTTACACCTTAGGTTACATTATTGGAGTTCTAGTAAAGATCTCTAATTTTTTTCAAAAAATATTACAGCCTTTGTCACTCGGGAATAGTGTAGCTTCCAAACAGTGAAATAATTTTTCAAATCGGTTCAGTAGTTTCAGAGCCTGTTCAATACAAACAAACAAACAAATCTTTCCTCTTTATAATATTATAGTATAGATTAAGCAATCAATCAAATGTAATCAAATCTTAGTTATATATAATTATATATACTAGAGGTCCCGCACTAGTCGAAATTCGACTATAATTAATTGGAATTGTATTGGAATATTCTGTACAAGTGTAGAAAATTTCATACTCCTCCGTTCGCGCAATTTCCGTAAAAAGGGATACAAAGTTTTTGCTTCACGTATTCATATATTGATATTTTTTTGTCAATGCACTGTCGATTGCACCTATAATTGAGGTGACATCTGCCATGAGCTTTTGTCAATTTGTCAATGTTTTGTATCGATGATCACTTTGTTGGTGCAGCTTAATAAATAAATAAAGAGTGCTACAAGAATTGCTAGCATGGCAAATTATTATTACAGGCAGCGGCAGAATAGCAGCGATAGTTTCAGCTATCACAAAGTTGAGCCGCGGCCTTTTTGTCTCCACTGTCAGTATAATTAATAATATTGTAATTAGAAATTTATGTCACATTAATTGAAAAGTTATTTGTATTGTGGAGTAAATAAATGTAATTATTATTATTATTATTAATAAATGCGACATGGATTGTTCTTATCTGCATAATGCCGTCCAATTTCATAGTCCATCGTTTAATTACAACGAATTCGTCGTATTAGCCTCAATTGACGTAATCAATTGCACGACCGATCGATTTTATTGTCTTCCACTGTGCATGGGCTTAATTAAATACGCGTTTTTTTTAAATTGATTAATTATTATTTCAAATTTGTTTCTCGGGAAGAGACAGTTTTGGATAGTGACGTCAAATTTTTAATCCGACCACGACGGCGCAACGCGTTCCCTCACTGCTGAGGTTCGCTACCATATGTGACTTTCCTCCATAGTGCTCAGTCATAGGTGACATGCACCGTACGGTATAGATCTCCACCAACCGCTTCCTTGTTTTCCAATAACTCATTCGTCCCTTTGACTTCCAAGGTGACCTCTTGTGAGTCCGCACGGGTAGGTACCACCGCCCCGCCCATTTCTGCCGTGAAGCAGTAATGCGTTTCGGTTTGAAGGCTGGGGCAGCCGTTGTAACTATACTGAGACCTTAGAACTCATATCTCAAGGTGGGTGGCGGCATTTACGTTGTAGATGTCTATGGGCTCCAGTAACCCCTCAACATCAGGTGGGCTGTGAGCTCGCCCAACCATGTATGCAATTAAGAGGACTGCAAAGGGTTGATATATATACATATCTATACAGTCGCATTTCGATATCTCGAATGTCAAGAGGATCACCCCTTTCCCAAGGGGTTCGACTTATTGAATCTTCGTCTTAAAAAGAAATGCGAGATATGAATTATTTAATGGCTAAAATTTTAAGTTAATTGGCAGTAACTACATACCCGCTCCCCCCTCTCTCTCTCTCTCTCTCTCTCTCTCTCTCTCTCTCTCTCTCTCTCCCTTTCTCTCTCGCACGGGTACTATTCCCGCAAAAAAGCTTTAGTTTTTGTAATGATATATCTGTATGTAAGTATGCATATATTTAAATGTATATCAGTCTAATTATAGAAATACTTGTTATTTAAAAAAAAAACCAGCCTCATTTCAATCCTGTCAAGACGCGACCGGTATTTTGAGTTATCCATAATAATTTATATTTTTTATTCACTATGACTACATCGATATATTCGCATCTTATATTTATCTTATTGTATTATTCTTCGGTAATTTGACCAATTGAATTAATTACAATTGACTAATAATTACTGAAGTAATTGACGGATTGATTAACTATTGACTAATGATTACGGAAGTAATTGACGGATTGGTTAACTATTCCCTAATAATTACTGAAGCAATTGACGGGTTGATTAACCATTGAATAATTACTAAAGTTAATGACGGATTGATTACCTTAACTAAAAATTACTAAAGTAATTGACGGATTGATTAGCTATTGACTAATAATTACTGAAGCAATTGTCGGATTGATTAACTATGAATAATTACTATAGTTAATGACGGATTGATTAACTATTGACTAATAACTATTGAAGTAATTGACGGATTGATTAACTCTTGACTAATAATTACTGAAGCAATTGACGGATTGATTAACTATAGAGTAATAATTGAAGTAATTATGAGTCAATATTAATAAAATATGGCCCGTGATCTCGTCAATATATCTAAGCAATAAATAAAAAGAGCCATGAGTTCCGACTCGAAAGATGAGTAAACAGATATACCTAGTCAGGTCATAAATTCTGTCACATGTTTAATGTAAAATAATTGAAACAAGTTTATTCATTATGTAACCATTCATATACCAAAATGAACTTAACAAAACATAGATTCTTATGACACTAAAGTTTATTCAAAATGACCTCCGTGATTTTGAATACAGGCCTTCAATCTGCGCGGCCAGTCGTCTATCGCAGCACGAACGAGGTCCATGTCAATATCGGCGGCTGCCTTAATCAAGGATGTCTTGAGTGACTCCAAATTGGGATGAGGCTTTGAGCACGCCTTTTCCTCCAAGTGTTGCCATATCTTGTAATCTAACGGATTCAAATCTGGACTGGAGGAGGGCCA